TAAGAGCATTTTTTATGTCTCTTTGGAGTTCAAACGAAGAAAATCAACCCCCGAAGTCAAGCACAACTTTAGACAGGAAGGCGACTGAATTAAATTTCTAGCACAGAGGTCCGGGTACTGCGACCTTGCAAATGCTGGTTGTGTGGGTAAATAAAGCAAGACTGTGGTTATTTTATTAGGTTGCAAATGATGTCTAACAATCATCTAAATTTATTAACCTTTTAGTTCTATAACTAATTCAATTTTCTATGCGCTAAATCTTTCTGTAGATTAGGTCATGTTAGGCTAGGCGAATAAGTGAAAGGTAGCATATGAAAATGTTACAGTAAAGTTATGCACTTTCGGTGGTTTGTGTCTGCTACCAGTGAGACTTCTTCGATAGTACTTGTGATTATGCGAGTGCTCTGTGCATGAAGCAAAATATGGGAAGTGCCAATTGATCTGCCTGTAAATGATCGAAACTAGAAATACCTAATCTGTTTACGATATGTGAGGTTAATTACAGCATACGTAGCAATTTTGAGAATATATGGATTTAAGTCTTTAAAAATACCATGTAGTTATCGAAAATAAGTAGATATTCTTATTTTACAAGTGCTACTATCATCATAATTCAAACTACATCAAGACGACTTTGCTCGCCATCACCACTACAAAGACACATTTGTACGCGCAACACTTAAACTGGCTGGAGCTGCCTGTGGTTGATTTGAGGCGAGTATAAGGATCCAAAACGTTTAAAAGGCGAGCCGTGGCAGTAACAGACTTACCCAGAGAATGCAATCCAGTGTCAGCAGCCCACACAAATCTAACTTCGAATTCTACGAACGGAGCCATCAGTCCCTATCTCGAAATAATAAGATGTCAACCCTCCCCCCACAACCTCCCATAAGACTGACAGTTGCCAAAAGAGCATAGGCATTGAATTCATTTAAATATGAAGAAATTAAAACACATACACACACATTTGCATGGAGAACTAGAATGAAGATGAAATTCACAGGGAATATAAAGCCACCCATAGGGAAATGGGGTGAAGTCGAACCGCGATGGTGGATTCCCTCTCAGCTCACCATCCCGTCCATAGTTTCCTGACTTCCACGTCCTGAGAGCGCATTTTCGGTGTTAGTCACTGAACAGCATAAAAGAAAAGGGGCAGAACAAAAATAAATGCAGCTATGAAAACCAAATTGATGAGATAGATGGGTGGATACAAAGTGAGAAACAGCACTTGGAGGTGTTTGCTGTGACTTATGGATAAGGAAAGGGTGTACCGAGTTTGTTCTATCACTCCACATAGCTGTGGTGTAACGTAGGGAATGGAGGAACTGAGCTGAAGTTCCCACCACATGGAAGACCAAACTGTTCGTCTAAAAATGCCCAAAGGATGCATTGGGGATCAAGGAGCGAAAGATGAGTTCCAGCTGCAAGGCTGAAATCAATGCAACTACGAGGGTGGATATTTGCGGATGAAGATCAAGTCCACAACTTTCATGTAGAATGTAGTATCGGAAGCCTCGTTAACTACCATCACATTGAGCCTGTCGTACTTCGAGGTTTTACTCACGTTTGATCCGGGATTTCTTAATCACCTCAGCCATAAATGGATTGAACATGATGGATGAAACTACGGTATTAAACAAATCATCGCTGGTAATCACAATATCACCGTGGCGTTTGTTAAGCGTCCGGCCACTCCCAATGGTGGTGATTGGTCTGTTCGAATAACCGTCTCTTCAGCTGATGGCGTAAGCATTCTCAAGTGGAAGGCAAATCTGCACTCATGACTGTCTTGAGCCTCCGCGTGGCCGTTTGAGTTAACTTCTCCATGTAAAAGCATCAAGTGACTCGGTTAATGTTGATGACTAGTAGGCCTAGTGACACTCAATTCCGTCTGCGAGCTCTGGTAACTTTTACACCCATCTCCATTGTCATCTCAACCTTCCTACGCACCCTGTAGCATAAGCCATCTCTAGTGCAACATTCCTACACTGTTCCCACTTATCAGAAGGGGTGAGTCAAATGGTTTGTTATATCGATGAATAATGTAGTGGCGACTATTAATGCTGGCTTTCTAGGTGTTGTCCACCTCATCCCTGATTGGTTCTGGATTACCTTCTAATCGACAGCTGATTGGTCAGATTTTAATATCATTTATTGATTCGCACTTGAGATCTTGAAATTGACATCTCCGACTTCCCTTGGCACTTCTTTGAGTGCTCCAAGTGGGTTGTCTAGAAGTCATGGACTACTCCCCAGTAATAAGGCTTTTCTCCTGGTGTGTGGCTGATTCTGTGGAGAGCAGCCAAAGCCTGACATGATGGGTGGATGGATAGATGGAAGGTTGGCATGATATTTACTATTTCTTTCAAGCACGCACTTCCTCTACGCCTGCATGTATTTAGGATTCACAAGAGATAGGGGGTAGTAGGGTGGTGAAGAAAAGGAGAAAGAGAGGACAGGTACCACGCAACCAATTTATTTTCTTACTGTTTCGTCCTCGTCCTGTTTTTTTCTCCCATCATGCACTAGTCTTCTTGTGATGAAAAGACAACTATTTTCGAGGTTGAAAAATCAGCTTCCATCTAAAGATGAGCCTGGTTTTTCTACCAAAATTTGTGCAGACACCTTTTTAAAACGTTTTTTTGAGATCAGCGTTTGTTTCTTTGCTTTCCTCTACAATAGACCTTCATCTGGTATTCTGTCAGTCCCAAGATAAGCATGTTCTCGAATGTGGGGTACTGAAGATGGTCCTGACGACTTCCAGACTGTCAAGACACCTGTCTAGATAGAAGAGAAGATCAGCCATCACAGCTGCATAGATATTTTAGATGATTTAGCACATTTATCCGCCATGTCGCGTATTTGTGACGTCAGTACCTGATGCGAAAAATAGGATGTCATGCGATATATGTGACGGCCAGAGCATTTGTGGTGTGGGAGGCAGGTGATTTCTCTATGCAAAGGTACAGTACCTCTCTGCCGCCTCTTGCAGGTAAGCTTCTTGATCCAGACCTTGAAAAGTCAGCGTTTGTGGAGGCGTCACATAATGAACCCTACTTCCTCCTGTCTGCCCGTCCAATGAAGAAGTGTTGTGAGTATTAGGTTAGGACGAGGATGAGGTTTTGATTTTCTGTTCAATTAGGAAAAATTAATAACCAAAATTGGATTCACCAAATCCTTTGCTGTT